TGCCCGGGAAGGAGGTGGTTGAAGACCCCATGGCTTGGGTCAGGCCCACCTTGGTCCTCAGAGAGGACCCTTGCTTTCCCACGTGTGACAAGGGGTGCTGTGTAGCAGATGTGCCCTGAACTCTTGATGGCTGTCCCCTTGGACATGAGAGGTTTCCACTGCCAGGGCCGCTGTGCTGAACCATTTGTTTTTTTCTCAAAAGGGGTAGTAGCTTAATCAGTTTGGAAATCTGTGGGCATGGTGAGGACTGCCGAGCCGAGACGGTACAATGCTCAGAGAGGAGCTGCTACAGGTGGTGGGGGGCCCCCCACCTCCACCCCCACCTGGCCCTCTGACAGCTGGCTTATTGCCACCCTGGGTCAGGAACTGCCCAGAAAGGAGGCGGCCTGGCCGAGCAGCCCAGACCTGTGGGTGGCCCTCCCCTCCACAGGCATCTTGGCCATGGCTCCAGTGCCCGCATCCTGTGGGTTTGGCCCGGGATGAAAGGCTGGGAATGAGACTGAAGAGTCGGGGTGCTGAGGCGGGGTGTGGGTAGAGTTGTGGTCAGGCCAATGTGATCCCAACATATCTGTGCTGTGTGGGGAACCTGGTTCCCAGACACCCCTTTTCCCTGCCCCGGGGAAGAGACAGGAACCTGTGCAGACCTCCCCCCACCCTGCCTCAGGCAAGAAAGCAGTTCCCCTGGGTCCCTCTGCTGGCTGAGGGTGCACCACCTGGCCTCAGTTTCCCTGTGTGTGACTGGGGGAGCTTCGGGTGTGGTTTCTGACGCTGTTTCCATTGTTCTAAGTATCTTCATGGTACTATGTCGATGCCTGTGTGTGTGTGTGTGTGTGTGTGTGTGTGTGTCCCTCCGTCAGTGCCTCCCTTCATCTGTCTGATGTCTCTCCATGCATGCCAATGTGTGTGTCTCTATGCAAGTATGTCTGCCTATCAATATCTGTGTCTATGTGCATCTAACCATGCGTCTATGTCTGCATGTGCATCCGTGTGTGCGCACGCGCGCGCGTGCTATCAGGATGGGCTGTCCACGTCTCTGTGTCTCTCCTTCGCCATCCATCTCCCTCCCTGCACTCTGATCTCTGACTGCATCATATCTCTCCTCCACTCCCCTCCTGCACCCACCTTCCTGTATGACCCCTTGGCAGGCATGGCCATCCAGTCACCTAGTGCTCACTGCCTGGGTATGCAGCAGAGAGCCCTGGTGGCATTGGGTAGTCACCTCCCTGGGCCCCCTCACTGACTTGGGGTCAGATAATGAGGCGTGTGTAAGCAGAGACCAGGGAGAAGGTTGAGGCTTTCCACTCCCTTCAGAACCAGAACGTGTGATCTTGGAAACCCACAGGGGTGGTTCGGTCCTGTCCTACAGCCTCTCAGAGCCGGCATCACCGGGATGGCAGCGGGTTTGAGGGGGGTTTTGAGGCAGAAAGCAAACCAGGTCGGGGAGAGCTCTGCATGCCTTAGCATCATCAACCACTGGAGACCAGAGGGCAGTGTGTGCCCACGGAGCCCGCTCAGCAGGGTGTGCAGAGGAGGAGGGTGGGAAAGGGCCTTGCAGGAGAAGGTGGGACGAGGGAAGCTGCTCTGTGAGGGAACTGAGGGGGCGTGAACTGCCGACGGGAATGCAGCTGCTCCGCACCGTCCGCCTCGCCCCGTCACAGCCAGAGTCTGAAACACAGAAGGAAAGGCCATGGTGGGGCAGTTCTGCTCTGGGGTGCGGGGTTGCTGCGAGTCGGGATGGACGCTGCTCGGGGAGGGGATCTTCACAGAAGCAGATTGACACAACCACAGGATGGGTTCCAGCCCCCAATCTTTTGGTTAGTGGCAGAGCGCTTAACCAACGGGCCACCAGGCTAGACACTTGCCCAAAGCCGCATAGCACCCAGGGGCCAATCCAGGGTTCAAACGCAGGTCTCCCGGCTCCCTGGGGCTCTCCATCTCCCAGGCTGGCAGCGGCAGGGACCCTGAGTTTGGCCTTTTCCCAGCCATGGAGGGAGGGGCAGTAGGGGGCAAACAGAGGGCAAGCCAGAGGTGTCAGGGCAGGAGGAGGCAGGGTTTGTGCACAATGAGAAGTGTAGCTCTAGCAGTTACTGGGGCACCTACCCACTCCCCATCAGGCTGCTGAGCCAGCTCCCTACTTCTGCGTCAGCCAGACTATAACACGGGGAGTCCTCCCCAGTCCCCCACCGCAGCCCCCACCCTCTGACCCAGAGCTGGAGTCTCAGGCCCTCAGTCAGGTAAGAGGGAATCAGAGTGAGAGAGGGGAGGGTGGGCGGGAATGCAAGAGAGTCCGAGAGATACTGAGATCAAGCTGAGGGAGGGAGAGGCCAGGGAAGAAGAGAAAGAGTGAGTCCCAGAGAGCAAGAAGCCACAGAGCAGTACAGACAGAGAAGCAAGCGATGAGCAGAGCCCAGGCCAGCGCGTCCCCAAGCAAGGGAGAGCTGTCGCACAGCCCTGCTGGGAGACATCCAGACCGGGGAGGCCCACAGCTGGACATCTGTCTGGTGGCCACAGAGGTGGCAGACAGCCCTGCAGGGGGGGGGGGGGGGCAGATGAAGGAGGGACCTGTCTACCCAGCTAACCAAACCGAAGCCAAACTGGCTGCCATCAAGTTGATGTCAACTTACGGCGACCCTGCAGGACAGGGTAAAACTGCCCCAGTGGATTGTAAGGACCCTCGCTCTTGGTGGGAGTAGAGAGCGCAGTCTCTCTCGAGAGGAGTGGCTGGTGGATTTGGACTGCTGAGCTTGTGGTATAACCACTAGGCCTAGGAGGCCAGCAGACGTCACCAGAGCTGCCAGCTCTCTTGGATCCCTTCAAATGTTCTCAAAAGCAGAAGGGGGCCTTTTTGGGGGGGATGATGATAATGTGGTGAAGCTTTCATCAACCCAAAGCAACCAGGACCCCACAGCGGAACAGCCAAAGCCCCACCCAACGCCCACTCGGCCACAACCTTCCTTTGCAAACCCGTCATCACGTGGACGTGTGCTCTGGGCCCTCCTTCGGCCCCAGCCCAGAGAGCTCCAGCCCCAGCGCTGAGAAAGAAATCCATTCACACATGCTCACAGCACCTGTGGATTGAAAGTCTCCAAGCGCCGGTCCAAGTGCAGGCGGAGGAGAAGGAGTGAATGACACAGAACCCGTCCAAGCATGGAGCAGTCAGGTCTGCTTGCTGGGCATATCCCCCCGAGTGGGGCTCAGCATGCTGCATACAAACAGCATGGGCTAAACCCCCAAACCAGATGTGCTGCCATCAAGCCAATGCTGACCCCCAGAGACCCACAAGAAGAGGGCAGAGC